AATGTGGCCAACATTTTCCTCAATTTATCATTTGCCTTTTGATCTTAGTGCTTCAACCTTCAGAGGCTTAACAATTCTTTGGTTGGATCATCTCTGTTTTACCATATTTCCCTTATAGGTTTATTCTCTTTATCATTTTTCACTTGTTATCTCTCCCCTCCTCCTAAGAGAATATTTCAAGATAGTTTCCACTTTAATTTTCCAAAGTTACAGAACAATCTTCCATTGCTTCTAGATTTAAGGTGATCCTTACTTCCTTGTAGTCTTCTCAGTCCGCCCCCACATTGGATACAGCATATTTCTTTGCATTTTATTAGATCATCTCTTCACCTTAAGAAATTCTTCCCTCATCTCATGGAGGGCAAGTCTTTCTTCAACGCCCTGCATCAAAGAATGAGTTGTCTTTTAGGACATAAGTGCTTATTTTCTGTAATATTTTTGGTGCTTTCATCTTATGATAGAATATCCGCTCTGCAAATCTGCCCATTTCCTAACACATAAAACTTTTGTTTTCCTATGTGGCAAAAAGAATTCTGTAGATGTCTTTAAGTTAAGGACCTTGTGATGGAGAGATTATCCTGGATTATCTGGGTGAGCTCCATATCATACAAAGGTTCTTACAAGAGGAAGACAAGAAGGCCAGAGGAGATGTGACAGTGGAAGCCAGAGAGAGATGTGAAGATGGCCATGAAGATGGAGGAAGCATCTGTGAGTCAGGGAATGTAGGTAGACTCCAGAAGCTGAGCAAGACATGAAAACGCATTCCCTGAGACCCTTTAGGGGTGGAATATGGCTCCGCTGACACTTTGATTTTGGGACTTCTGACCTCCAGAACTGCAAGAGGAAACCTTTTTTGTTTGTTTGTTAAAGCCACTCAATCTGTGACAGTTTATTACAGCAGTAACAGAAAACCAACCCCTAGTTCATGTACAAGGCTTGTGAGATAGAGAGCTAGCCTAGACTGTCTAGGTAAGCCAGATCTGATCACTTGATCCCTTATAAACCTAGAAGTGTGCCTGGTTGAGGCAGGGAGATGCAATAGAAAAGAGCAAAGGAGAAGGGAAACACAGGGGTAAGTGAGAGGGACAAACTCAACACATCATTATGGATTTAAAGATGGAGGAAGGGACCACAAGCCAGGGCATGCAGGCTGTGCCTAGAAGCTGAGGCGGGATGGCCACTGGTTAAAGCCTGCAAGGAAACACACCTCATTCCTACAACCATAAGGAACTGAGCTCAGCAACAACTGAAATGAGCCTGGAATTGAATCCTTTCCTAGACAAATAGGAAACAGAAGGATAAGGCCCTCATGACTCCTTGATTTTGGCCCTGTGAAGCCCAGAGCAGCAAAACCAGCCAAACTCACTGAAATCACACCTAAAGCACTAATGTAACAACATTATTTATTTAATGTGACTACCTTTATGGTAACGAGTTATGACACTAATTGCAAATGAATCCATACCTTAGGTTGCAAAACTCAAACTGATTCACTCTCAGTGGGGTCTACCACAGGGTGATTTGTGAGTTAGTAATTCAGTGGCTTGATTACATGGTCAGGGATCTAAATTCTTCAACCCTTTTGTTCTGTTATTCTTGAGATGTTAGCCACCTCTGCCACAGGTCTCAAATGGCTGCAGCCACTCCATGAATCCCTTCCAGAAAAGGAAAAAGATTTTCTTCTTAATGCACCTCTTTTTAGGGGACTATTTAGTAGATAGTCCACCCCATTTCTCTGGTTTCTTTAGAACAAACAGTAATCAATGCAGAACTAAATTTTCCCAGATGAAAAGATGTGTGGATTAGTCTGAGTCTAGTTTAGTGTCCATCACAATGAAAAATCACAGTAGAGACATGAGTGTAATAATAATAATAATAATAATAAAGACTTGGAGATCAAGATTGAGCATTAACTGTTAAAAGTTTAACTCCAAAACAGGGACCTCCAATCAAGGGAAGAGTCTATGCTCTGGGAAACAAGATTTAGAAAGAAATGGGGTCATTGAAAGTCAGAAGACCATGAAGTGTCTCTGTTCCATATTAGGAAAGAAACATCTCAGATGCATAGTGAGCGGCACGGCATAGCTGAGCTTGAGGGTAGGCAAGCACTGGGCTGCCTGGAGATGGTGTACCATGCAGTGGGGATGCCTCTGCTCTGTACCTGCAGCACCTACCTTGGTACTGAGGTATCCAGCTCACCGCTGTTGCATACTTGATGCACCCATGTTGGGTCTGCACTGCTTGCTGACCAGGTTAGGATTTAGCAGTATGGGAAGAAAATTTGTCTTGGCCTTAGGAAATCTTCTGGCTAGAGAGAAAAAGGGAAAGAGAAGAAAAGAGGAGAGGAGGGGCAGGACTGGGAGAGAAGGTGAAAAAAAAAAGTGTTTTAAATTAAATTTTGCAACTCATTTCTCCACTTAAAACCCTTTAATGCCCTACTAGTTAATACCAATAGTCATGTTTGCCCTTTGCCCAGTTTTATTCTGCTCTCCACCTAGATCTTACATGATTCTGGCAATCCTAACTGAATTGATTGAAGTGGTCTCCTTCTTTTTTGTCAGTGATTATTTCAGTAGTTGGCTTGCAACCCAGTTCCAGTCGATGAGATAGATCAGAAGATGATCTCAGGAGCTTGGCAGAGCCTAGCATGGCTTGCATTTTCCTGCACATGTGAGGCCCTGACAGCATTTCTGGCTTCCTCTGACACCTCTCATCCCTTCTATCTCTTGGTTGTGGCTACATTGAACTTTTTCCATTACTCCAAAGTTCTAAAGTCTCTTGATACTAGAATTTATTCATATTGTATTCTCATTTTCTTCCTTTCCACCATACCCGGGCCCCCTCCCCTCTCTCTGATTAAATGTTACTTCTTTAAAAAAGTCTTTCTTATCACCTAGGCTACATCAGGTTGACATGTGTTTTCCCGTTAGCGCCCTTTCCTACATGAATCCATTCAAAAAAATGTTAATTGCTTTTTTATTGTCGGTTTGTAAGCCTTCTCCACAGTGATAATCAGTGAACAAAGCCACAAAGCCGACCTGGCCTTTGCACTCATTACCAGTGAGGGTTCTCAGTGAATGTCTGTATTCCCAGCTGGACCCAAGATGTACAATCATACCCAATATTTAAATTGAACAGATTTTCAAGAAGCACATAGAACAGCCGGCACAAGTGGGCAGACGTTCCAGTTCTCATTGCTGCTGACTGGCTAGACTTATCCTTAGGAGGGTGGGATTTGGGCACACTTTGGTAAGAAAAAAGACCTACTCTTTGGCAGGAGACATTAAAGGTAAAAGCTTCTCTTGAAGCATGTTTTGTGGATTCTTTCAGGTTATATGCTCTCTGCCCATCACAGGGGTCTCTCCCCTGCTGTGTTTCTGGCCTGGGCCATGACAGGTCTCAGCTTTTGAAATTCGGGTGGTACACCTTCTTTGGGGAGTTTACTGACCCAATCAGGATCTGGCATGATCCAACATGACCCCTGGGCTATTTCTCTTATGCATAACCCACATCTTATAAAATAGCTGTCTTGGTGAAACAGCTATTTTCTGCTCTTACCAATTAGCTCTCTAAATTGTCTGAACCTTTTCCCCATGAAGTTTCTTACACAGCAGATTTCCAAAACAACATGACTTAGATACCAGTCCATTGTGTGTCCTAAGCCCCAGAGTTCACAAATCAAGCTCTTTAAGTTTCCCATTCAAGCCCCTTGCTCTTTGTGACAAGAACAGCCCACTCTGGCTGTTGGACCCCTGCCCGCATCCCTTTCACTAAATGGGTTCTCCCATATCCCAGTTGCTGTTATTGGCTGCTAACCACTCTTCTACCTTCTCCAATGAGGCCCCACTTGTAGGATGGGCCTCTCATGTCCCACATCAGCCAGCGGCCAATGACTTACTGACATGGGACCCAAAAGGCCAGACCCCCCATCTCAAAGTGAGATCACACTGTGGTGCAATCCATGCTCCAGAGGCCATGTGAGGTGTGGCCAGAATCATCCCCCGCTGAGTCTACATCCTTGCCTGACTCATTCCCTCATCCCATCCTGCTGCCCTCTCCTCCTATCTCCTAAGAGCACCCTCTCAGTAAGTCACTGCACAAGGTTCCCTATCTTCAGCTCTGTTTCTTGGGAATCCAACCTAAGACAGAGCTCCCCACCCACAGAAGCAGGTCAGATGGGAGCCATTCACAACACACTGACAGCTCTCTTCCAAAACCTTTTCTAATTTACACCTGGCTACATCCACCTCTATGTGCCCTTCAGGAGCCCCAAGTGGTGAGTATCAAAGGTCCCCAAGTGGGTTTTTGCCACCAACTTGTTAAGTCTAACACAGATGCCTTATTTTGGAATACAGGAGATATTACTGTGTATTTGCCTGGAAATAGGAATGAAATATTTCCCTTTGACTTCCTGCTATTATATGAGGCACCTATAAAATTGCAGGCACATGATAGGAGCCTTCTGAATGACAGCTATTATTTTGGTTCCTTAAATAATGTATTAAAAACTCGCACACCACTTGCCAGCCTCTGTCATTAGTATTTTCTCACTCTGTCACAGTATAGTTAAGCTCCATTTTATTGATCCTCATTCATAAAACTGAAGCCCAGAAAACATTCACTGCCTGGGCTAGGTTCAAAGCCAGATTTTCACCTAACTTTGGTGTGTATGTGTGGAAACTGGGCTAATGGTCTTTATTATTATTTTTTTTAATTTTTATTTGTTCTTTTTAGTTGTATATGACATTAGAATCTATTTTGATATCATTATACAAACATGGAATATATCTTACTCTAATGAAGATCCCAGTCTTGTGGATGTACATGAGGTTGAGATACACTGTTCATATTTTTTCCCCCACACTCCCACCATCACCCGGCCTGAGCCCTTGCTCCTGGTTTGGTGTTCCCGTGACCTCAGGCAGCAGTGACATAAGTTGCAGGGTTTTGCTTCTTTCCTGTTGACACTAGTCTTTTGTTTCTTCTTCCTGGGACCTCAGATCTGTGTGACTTCAGAAGAAGAACAAGATGGCTTTATCAGAGTGCTCAGTGGAAAGAAGAGAGGCCTTGTCCCCCTCGATGTCCTGGAAAATATCTGATTGCTGACCCCTCCTCCTTGTGCAGCAGGCCAGCTCTGCTGCAGTGCCGTCTGCTCATCTCACTGTGTCCACCCAGAGGAGCTGTCGCACTGACCTGGCCCCCCCGGAAACAGGGAGACAAGACTGGAGGATCTGAGACTGTGGAGCAGCAGCCACACAGCAGAGGGCCCATCACAAAGCGCATCCTGGCTGCTAGAGGTGGGGATGAGGCTGAGATTTGGCCAGCATACCTGGGGGGCAGCAGGGCCCTAGGCCACAGCTGCCCCAGGACTCAGCTCCTTCCCTGCCCGGGTGGTGTAAGTCAACCAGCTGGAGTGCTCCAGTCTATGGTGTGGCCCCAGCGCGAGGTTCAGTTCTGTGTAACCAAGTGTTGTTCTGGTTCCAGACCTTTGTCCCCAGTACTGCCCAATCAGCATCATCATACTTCAGACTCCAAGCAGTCAGTCTCTCTGCGGAGACTCCAGCTCCCAGCTGGTTACCAATAGAGGTAACCAGATCTGAGGCACAGATAGAAGCAGCGAGGAGCATTGGGGGTAGGGGGGACAAAAATCCCTTATTTATTGAGGATGACACAGTCCTTTCAGTTATGAAGTCCTTTCCCAAAGGATAGGGAGCTGGGAGAGAGAATGTGGAGAAAAGCATCCATTTTCATTTTACAGCCTCTATATTGGGGACAGCATTTTCCCCTTATGCCATCCTGTAGGAATCTATTTTGGAAGTGGAGCTCATCTTTCAGGGAACCAGGAACAGGGAGGGGAACCAATAACAGCATATTAGAAGAAATCGGAATGCATTTTTTCTTAGGTCAGTATATCATACCCCAGCAGGCATACAATAGAAAGGAATCCTTAATGCTTCATCCCTCTGAAAGCAGAGGAATTCGGGGCCTATTTAGTGTCATCAAGGGGAGTCCAGAATCTCTATTACTCTGTACTTGTACTAATGTTTACAAGAATACAATATACTGTGATGCCTTCCTCCTCAAGCCTCCTCCTAGCATTCACACTTGCATCCTAGAAGTCATTCACACGGTTAAACTTCAATTCACAATGACCTTGGAATCAATGTCAGTTTGGTTTATTTTGTTACAGAGCAATAAAATCATTAGAATAATTGGTTTTTAAAAGACTTAAGTGGATGCATCCTGTGCATGTAAGCATTATTTCTCAAACCAAAGCATCATTAGTCTCCATTTATTTCTTTTGCTACTGCTCAGCATGAAGTTGGGAGCTGAGATGGGGTGGCTGCTGGTTTCACAGTAGTTTGGATGCCTTACTCTCATTTTAAAGCCAGCATCCAGAGTTTCCTCCCTTTCTGAAACAACAGGCAAACCCAGGTGGATAGAGTCAAGATGGATTCTTTGAGAGCCCACGCGGATAACACAACTGCCTTTCTGTAATAGTGAATGCCGAGTATCAATGCTCTTTGCCTCTAATTGAATTTTCCATATAATAAAGACAACACAGTGGCTGGAAGGAGCATAGAAAACATGTGTCCTGATCTCTTCTTTCTGAGCCATATCCAGGGACTTATCTTTAGTACAATGGTGTCCAATTTGCATTTTTAAAACATCAGTCTGCCTTTTCAAGTTGAATGGAAGGAGACTGTAGTATCCAGCCTCCAAGATGGTTCCCCATGATACCTACCTCCTGATGTTCTTCCTTTTGTGTAGCCTCTTCCCAGATTGAATCAGGGCTGGTCTCAGGTGGCCAATGAAATACAGTCTAGGTGATACTACATGACTTCAGTGTGAGGTCAAAAACAATCTTTACGACTTCTGCCTTGATCTTCTGGAACACTCGCTGTGAAAATCCTGAGACCCCATGTAAGTTTACCTACCCTGAGGCCATATGCAAGAGAAACCCAGAGAAGACAGCACACCTTTCAACAGCTAAGGTCCCAGACATCATATAGTAACTATGAATCATCTTTGCTGAACCTGGCACACACTACAGAGTTATGAGCAAGATAAATAGGGAGGATATTTTTTTGTTTAGTCACCAAGTTTTAGAGTTATTGTCAAACAGAGACAGTGGAATGAATCTGACACAACTTTCCTATGTGCATATATGAACATACCACAGCGAATCTCAACATGATGTACATCCCCATGACTGGGATTATAATTAGAATAAAATATATGCCATGTTTGTATAAATATGTGAAAATAGACTCTACTGTCATGTATAAGTAAGAAGAACAAATAATTTTTTTTAAAAAAAAAAAGGTCACTAGAACAGGACTTTGTCATTTGAGTCAAAGACACAATGAGACCCAAAATCTTTGCAATCATCAAGTATTGGCAAGCAGTTAACTCTCTGAATTCGAGATGTCTAGTGTTCCCTAAAGATGGCCATGGATGGTTCTCACACACACAGATTTTAGCAATCAGAATTCCCCTATGCATCTCCAGAAATGACAGGAACAAAGATAGTTATGACCTACCAGAGCCTTAAGATTTCCAAGACTCAAGAAGTGGCTAGGGCTGGAGATGTGGCTCAAGCGGTAACATGCTCACCTGGCACGCACGGGGCGCTGGGTTCGATCCTCAGCACCACACAAAAATAAAAAAAAAGATGTTGTGTCCACCGAAAACTAAAAAATAAATATTAAAAAAATTCTCTCTCTCTCTCTCTCTCTCTCTCTCTCTCTCTCTTAAAAAAAAAAGAAGAAGTGGCTAGAATGGAGATGAGGTGAGGACCCCAAGAGTAACCACTGATGAGAGGACAGGGAAGAAGGGAAAAGAATTTAAAGAAAAAAAAGTGGGTCTGGGAATACTAGGTAGAGTGTGAAGGAAGATCCTTGTGCTTCCTCTTCTCCTGCCCCTGCCACCAGCCAAGGGATGTCACATACCTAACTGTTCCAGGGAAGCTATGCCCTACATTGACCACTAATGCTGAAGGACTTACTTCTATCTTGGAAAATTTGAAATGAAAATTGATTGAATATTCCTCAGGGCTCCAAAAAGTTCAGAATAGAACTTCCTTCACCCCATTACTAGCAGGTTATCTGTGGCACCCTAATGTGGGCAGTAGGACTGCAAAGAAAGCCCATATGGCTACCAGTAGTGTTGACCTCACAGACTATTCTTCCTTCCCAACTATACACCAAATGCATGCATGCCCACATTCCCCACTCACCCACTCCCAGAAGAATTCAAAATCTGGGTTACATATTTAAAGCTACAAGTAGAATAATAAATGATACATGCTAAGAGCTTACTTGAGTTAATACTCTTTGTTATTAAAGGGAAGACGTTTGATGGGAAGATCACACATGCAGATAGTCTGGTGAAAAAAAAAAAAGAAAAGAAAAAAAGAAAAATCACCCCTGATGTCCAAAAACTGGTTCAAGTGTCTAGCTGCTTCAAAGAGAAGAGACACAGGAAGGCAATCTACTGGCCTGCCCTTAACTACAGTGCCTCCAGGCAGGTCCAGGCAAAAAAAAAAAAAAAAAAACTCTGTAAACTGCATGTTCCAACAGAAGCTTTTATTTAAGTTACCTGACTTCTTTACTCAGAACTTCTCAGAGTCTTTCATTTGCTAATTCTCATGATGAATATTCCAAAAAGTGGATTTAGAACTATGGAGAACTACTTAGCCCCTTCTAGAACAAAGTTCCAGGAAATATAGTTGGGAAAGCTCTGCAGTAGAGAGTTCTCCTATTATATAGAATCGTAATAATCTCAAGGCTCCTAATATCCTCTCTTTTCCTACATTTCACTGGGATCCTTATGAAGTACTGAAAAGGACAAATGTACACGATCATATTGATAACTACGCCTGAAAGAAAATCTGCTCTGGAACCTGAGATTATAAGGGAGTAGGAGAAAGTGGGAATCTATATATTCCAGGGTTAGAAAACGTGGGAAGAAGAGTAGTTTTGCTGTGGTCTGAAAGCTTTAGCACATGCTGACAGACAAGCAGGGACGAGGCTGGTGTAGATCTGGGAATAAAAGTTCAACATTCCCCAAAATAGCATCCCCAGGAAACTCAGTGAGCAGGTGTGCTTCACAAATTTATCACAAAACAAAAACCCTTAAAAATAACTTGGATAGAAAATCAAAACTAGTAAATGACACCCTCTAACCATCACTGAGATTTTTCTCAGTTGCCATTCTGTTGTGTTTTGTTCAACACCTGGTGTTTTTGACCCTTGGAATGTATTATGTCTTAGCTTCCAATATGGCATTTTAAACAGTCTTCAATCTTTTGGGTGGGTAATATAAACTTCTAATCTATCTTGAAAGTTTAATAAGATAATGGCTGTTTATTTTAATAGTTCCCTTTTAAAATTGAAAGACTGGTAGAGTTTTTTATCATCTTGTCAAATTTAAATAGCTGTTGAACACCTTCCATGTCTTCATGGAAATTTGGATGTACTGAAGCCTTTAAAATGCAGCCTGGAAAAGTAAAAGGCCTATTTTCAAGAGCAATGGTGGTCGTGTTTAGAATCACTCCATTCGCATCACTTACTCAGGCTCTGGAGTTACTCTCCTAATTTCATCTTTTTCTATACACGGGAGAAATTTTTCTTCCTTCTACAGCTTCTCAAAACCTATGTACTTATTTTATTAACCCTTATTTTCACTGAAGTAAAAAAAAATCATCTGAGGTTACACATCTTCCTCTGAATTTAGCTTTAACCACATTGAGTAGCTATTTTTTGCTTGCATTCATTTCTAAATGCTCTGTAATTACACTTTTGATTTTTCTCTTTAGATTTTTATTTCATGTATGTGCACATAAATAAGCCATTCATTTTACATCATGGCCAGAAAATATGGTCTGTATGGTTTCCACTTTGAGAAATTAATTGGCATTTTAATTTGTGCTAATAATATATGACTAATTTCTATAAATGTTCAATGGATGTTGGAGGAAAAGTCATGTCTATAATGTGTGTGTGTGTGTGTGTGTGTGTGTGTGTGTGTGTGTATAAAATAAATCTTTAAAAGTAGTCGGGTTATCTATATTCTTATTTGCTTCTGTTCATGTACTCTATCAAAGACAAAGAAGTCAAGACCAAGCAACAGTATGGCTGAAATGAAAGACACTTTGCAAGGACCTGCAATCAATTCCTCCTTGTCAGCCTTGGAGGAAAGATATGACAACCAGTGCTCTCCACCACAGCCACACCTTCTAATTTTGGACCAAATTCCTTAGATCATGTCCTAAGTATATATTCTCTTGGACTTCCTGGAGCATATTGTAAAGGAACCATTTTTAAGTGAAGAGGTTCCAAAGATATTCTTAGAAAAGTTTAATGTTGAATGTAGAGAATTTGAGTCAGAGTATTCTGACAGAAAAATTACAATAAAATTACAATAAAATCCAAAATCACTTTTGAAAAAGCTGATAAGTCTTTCTGTTCTAAGAAACTTGGAGCCTTTCCTAATTATAAGATATTGTATTTCTTTTCTTTCCTTCATGTTAGGTGGGTAAGAAGTGAAATACTGAGATGAACCTTCTACTGGAAGCACCTGGCCAAACAGCACATTTCTAAAATAGGTGTGGGGCAACCTTACCCTAATTAGAACACTTGTAAAAAAAAAAAAAAAAAGAGAGAGAGAGAGAGAGAGAGAGAGAGAGAAATGAGTTATAGTAGATGGGGTAGAGAGAGAAGATGGGAGGGGAGGGGAGGGGAAGGGGAATAGGAAGGGGATAGG